AAGCTAACCCTGCAACTCCTTTTGCTTTCAGAACATTTGCTTGACTCTGTGAACTTGAACTTTGGTTCTGGCAGCCCAGTAAGGAGCAGGGGATTAGAAGTAAGGTCAAAGCCCAGGACCTTCTGAAGTTCAGATATGTAATAGGAAATCATCTTCCCTATAAATTGTACTTCAAGAGACTATAGAGTTCTGGTTAACTAGAAATAAACCCACCCTATCTCCTAGCCTCAGTTGCTGATAAAATAGAAGAAAAAGCCCTTAAGAAGTTAAAATGATCAGTTGGTTTGTAAAAGGTTGTGCAGCTCTAGTCCACACAATGTAGGAAATCCAAACCCCTCAAACTATGATTTTTTTTTTAAGTGGTCTCAACTGGTAGGGCCTCTTGGTGCTTGGTAGAAGCAAATGCAGCCCTTCTCTGGTATAGATGTGGTTGTATCACATAAAGTAGACTTTTACGCAAAGTGTATTTTCAGAAACTAAAAGCTCAGTTCCTAATGATAAAGGTTTCAATGTACCAGGATGTTCAGACTGGTTTTGAACTCACTAGGTAGCCCAGACTGGCCTTAAACTCGTGGTGATCCTCTTGCTTCAGCTTCCCAAGTGCTAGGATTACAGGTGTGTATGTCATGCTCAGCAGGCAGATATAACTATTAAAATTATATACACCTACTCACAAACCCTTGATAATATGTAAGTTAATAAAAGTACTAGGAGAAGTGGACAAATGTAAAATAGTATGATTTCTCAGAAATAAATAGAATAAGAAGATAAAAATCCAGTAAGGCTATGGATTATGTAAACTAATTAACATCTAACCTAATGTACATATATAGAGTACTACACCCACCCACTCACACATTCTTTCTAAGTTTACTCAGAACATTTACTAAAGTTGACTTAAGTCACAGAAAATGTTTTCTGGTCCCAATGCAATTGAGGTAGTTACAATGGTACCTGGGTTCACAAACTTAATCTGTTTTATGGTTTTGGAAAAGATGACCATGTTTGTGTTTGTGTGGGAAAGATCGCTGCAGTTGTCATCTGATGTGAAATATGCAAACAAAAACAAAATTTTGGGGCCGGGGATTTAGCTCAGTGGTTTCGGTGCCTGCCTCGCAAGCACAAGGTCCCGAGTTCGATCCCCAGTACCAAAAAAAAAATTTGCCAAATGGTTCTGTTTGGGAACCAAATTGTTTACAAACAAAAGCGTTCATGAACTGAGGTACCACTCTATTAACATAACGATAGCTAGAAAATCCCATGCGTTTGGAAATTAAGAAACACTTCTCAACCCATGTTTCAAAGAAAAAATAATAATGGAAATTAGAGAGTATTATAGACTGAATGAAAATGAAAATACTACATTCAGAGGTTGAGAGGCAGAGTAGGATTTGGAGGAAATTTCTACTCTTAAATGCTTATACTATAAAAAAATAAAGTCTAAAGATTAATGATCTCTGAATCTATTTCATGAAATTCAGGGAGAAAAAAGCAAATTCTCCCAAGAACTTGAGGGAGGAAATAATGAAGAATAGAAATAGAAAATATAGTTACAAATAATAAAACTAAAGTTTTTGAAAGACAACCTGATAAATCGTTTGATAAAATTAAGACACAAAACATACCTCTAATGAAACAGAAGACATAACCATAGGAGTTATAGACATTATAAAGTTAAGAAACTAGCTGGGCACAGTGGCATGAGACTGTAGACTCAATATTTGAGAGGCTGAGGCAGGAGAATTGCTTGAGCCCAGGAGTTCAGGGCTGAGCAACAGTGAGATCCATCTTTAAAAAGTTAAAAGAATATTAATATTAAATAAGTTTGTAAATGGATAGATTTCATTTCATCCAGATGAGATGATAAATTCTTAGAAAAGTAAATTTTTTTTTTTTTGGTACCGGGGATTGAACTTGGATCCTTGCGCTTGCGCAGCAGGCGGCGAAACCACTGAGCTAAATCCCCGGCCCTAGAAAAGTAATTTTTAATTTGAGATAGAAAACCTGATATCCTGGTCACATTTAATCTGTAGTATGAAATCTTTCCATAAGGACAATTTGAGTTTCAGTTTACTTCCCTGAGGAGCCCTGTCAAACCTCAAAGAAGCAAATATTGCTCCATAACAAGTCACCCCACATGGATTGCTTTAAAACAATATTATTATTGGATCAGGACTTGAGCAAGAGCTTTGTGGGTGTTTCTGCTTGGGCTCTCTCCTGAGGGTGTAGGCAGATGTTAGCTTTGGCTGAGGGTTTGTTGGCAGTTTGGGGCCCACATCAGAATTCTTCACGTCAGGCTCTGCACTGAGTTCCTTGGGTGTTTTCATGATGTTGGGTTTGTCTTCCCCCAGAGCGAACATGTGAGAGGCTGTGTGCGAGCTGCAGTGCCCTCTGTCATCTAAGTCAGTGGTGGCGAACCCATGGCACATGTGCTGCAGTTGGCTATTTGTTGTCATTGAAAGCTCTAAAAGGTTTGCCATCACTCATCTAACCTCAAAAGCTTCCTGTGTTAGTCAGCTTCTCATTACTGTAACAACACCTGGAGTAATGAGCTCATAAAGAGAAAAGGTTTGTTTTTTGGCTCATTGTTTCAGGAGTTTTCAGTCCATGGTCATTTGGTCCTGTTACTTTTGGGGCTGTCTCGAGGCGATGTGTCAGGTGGGAGTGCTCAGTGGAAGATGTCCATTCACCTCAAGACTGGGTGCAGAAAGAGAGAGAGAGGCAGGTACTGAGTACCAGCATCCCTTCATGGGCACTCCTCAGTGACCTGAGTCCTCCAGGCTGCACCTCTCAAAGTGTACCCTGGGCCAGGGACCAAGCTTTAGCACGTGGGCCTTTGGGCCATTGAAGATCCAGACTGTATCACTTGCTCAGTATTCTCTTGGTTACCCAGACCAGCCTTGATCTCACTGGGCGGGGACTCGAGGAAGGTACAGTTCTGGGGATGCAGATCACTGGGGCCTGTTTTGAAGGCTGGCTAGCACATGGGATTTACATTTCCTGAGAAGAGGGAGAGGGAACACTAATTCATTTTGTGAGGCAAACATAAAAATTTCAAAAATTTAGATATTAAAACATTTAAATTTTTTTTTTTAATTTAGGGTCTCTTAGTAGTTTTGAACTTATTTCTGGGATATGCTGTCTCAATAACTTTTTTTTTTTTTTTTTTTTTTTTGGTACTGGGGATCAAACTCGGGTCCTTGCACTTGTGAGACAGGCAGTGGAACCACTGAGCTAAATCCCTAGCAATAACTTTTTTTTTGGGTACTGGGGATCCAACTCAGGCCCTTGCACTTACAGGGCAGGCGGCGGAACCACTGAGCTAAATCCTCAGCGTGGGATATGCCATCTCTATTTTTTTGTACTGGGGATTGAACTCAGGGCCTTTGCACTGAGCTACATGCCCACTTTTCAGTTTTTATTTTGAGACAGGGTCTTGCTAAGTTGCCAGGTAGGACTTGAACTTGTGATCTTCCTGCCTCAGCCTCCCCTAGTGCTGGGCTTACAGGTGTGCACCACCATACCTAGCTGACATAAACTTTTTTTAACTGAAAGATATATCCCTCCACTACCACCACATCTGGGGAAGCAGAACTTGACATGGCCAGCACACTGCTGGGGAGGAGCTGTCCCATTATTGCTGAGTTCCCATCTGAAATTACTGGCTCACAGAAATGGTTACTGGGCCAGGCATAGTGGTGCATGCCTGTAATCCCAACACTCAGGAGGCTGAGGCAGGAGGATGTCCATGAGTTTGAGGCCAGCCTGGGCTATATAGTGGGACACTACCTCAAAAAAACCAAAAACCAAAAAAAAGAGAAAAAAGTACTTAGTGAACCTCTTGCTTTTCTTCCAAGTGAATTAGGGTGTGAGGAACACAGGAAGTAACCGAGGTAGGAAACTACGTGTAAGGGATCTCAGAACTGTAGCCTTCCCGGTCAGTTTCTCTTACTCAGGAACTATCTGCCTGCAGTGGAGCCCTATCAGGTGCACTGCCGTAGCTCCTCTTCCTGCCTCAGGGAAGATCACCTAGATCGGGGCCTACAGGGAGCTTCGTAGCTGGAGGCTCTTCATGGAAGTTTGGCTCACTGCTCCCCACTGAGCCCTCATTCCCTGTCCCCCCTCTCCCGACTTGGCCTTGCACTCAGCGTCAGGATATGCTCCCCTCCAGGGTTCTCTTACCCTGGCGGTTTCTTTGATGAGTAGTGGAGCGCAGAGCACCGGGCCTCCAGGAGAAAAAGAAATGAGCCACTTCTGACACCCAGAAGACACTGACTCCCACGTCTTGAAGTGGAGGTAGGAGGTGGGAAAAAAGTTGAATAATTTCACTTTAGATTATGCAGCTGAAGATCTCTAGTAACTTCTGAGAATAAATGAACCCTTTGGAGAATTTTGATCTCTTCTAGCTTTGGTTTGGTTGGGCTTTAAGAGAGTCTGGTGTGTGAGGCTGAGAACCACAGGCGCAGTGTGTGTTTCGGTTGGACTGGCCGTGAGCTTCAGCCTGCTGGAATTCGTGTGGCCTTCATGTTGCAGTACAGGTCTCACCTTTGGTTTAGCTTTCCCAGCTGTTCCATTTCCATTGAGCTCTCTTCTTAACTCACGCAGCACTTAGTGCCATCAGTCTTGGTCTTGAGTGTATGTTCCTCAGTCACTGTTTGATAAAATCTTCTCACAGGAAGTGACTCACCTGTTCCACTAGATTGTTCTGTAGTGCAGCTCACGGAATGAGCTGTGTTTATTTCCCATAGTTCCTCACCAGCCCTGGCATGATTTGCCATTTTCAGAATGGAGTGATTCAGTTCCCAGGGCCTGTAGTTGCAGATAGGTGCAGACAGACATGGAAAGACCTTCTGCAGAAATGTGCGTAACCACTGAATGGATTCTCTGAGGGAGGCACAGGGTGGAGGGTGAGTCCCCATGGGGAAGACGGGGAGAAGAAGCTCCCAATTTAATTCCATCTTCTCCCATTAATGGCTTCTTCTGTCCTCATCTCTTCACAGAACCCTGCCATCAGCATCACTGAAAATGTGCTGCATTTCAAAGGTCGGTCACTAGGCACGTGCTCCAGCTCTCTACAGTGAAGGCGTGGTGGTGGTTTCCCTTTATTCTTATTTAACTCATTTTTTATTGATGTTCACCCCTTTGAGACTCTTGGTACAAACTTAATTGTTTTGAAAATATGATTGGAAAAGAAAAAGAATTTGTTTAAATCCCTGCTTTCCCCTTGGAAAGACTCTAGGTGCTGGGAGGTGGAATCCTGGGCTAGAAATCTGGGGATCTTTCAGCTTGAATTCTGCCACTGCCTTAGACAAGTTCATAACTTTTCTGGCCCTGGAAAATGAAAGTGTTGGATTATAATCTGTCTCTGCCCAATGGTCACCTGAGAATATGTGGCTTTCAGGGGTTCACTGACCCAGACTGAGAAACATGAAGAATTAGATATGATCCCTTCGAATGATACCTGTCTCTGCTGCAGCTGTGACCACAGATATACACACAGCCACTGAGCTTTCGCGGCAGGACTAGAGTCCAGGATATGCTGCTTTTGAAAAAGATTATGACAACAAGAAGCAGAAATTGTCTTGGTAGGACTGGGTCTCCCGATAACCCATTTGCAGACCAGTTTGAGCAACAGTGTTGTTGCCCGAGTCTTTCCATCGCCACCACCAGTGGAGTGCGTTCTCCCTGTCCTTTCTGCACCTGTTCCTGGGCTCATTGGAGAGTGAGGTTGCTTCTTTATGTGGGATGCTGCTGTCTTTCCTTCCTTAATTGCCAAAGAAGTGCAGTCTGGCATTTGTGTCTACTTTTCAAGATGTGAGTAGTGGTAGTAGGTAGTAGCAGCTCAGGCTTTTTGAGAGATACATTGGTACCTTGGTTCACAAACTTAATTATTTGCACGATTCTGGTTGCAAAGGAATTGTATATACATCGAACCACTGTATGTGCATTTGAAAGGAAGTTTAAGTGATCGAGGTACATTTTGCTACTTAGAGCTTATAGACTGTCCTACCCCAAGGAGTTTATGATCTTAGGGAATAATAGCCATTCATAGCACATATTAGGCAGGTTTTACTACATAGGATCAGATGAGGGAAGAGAATCCCAGGGTGAAACCAGATGGTAGTTGAAGCAGAGCACCTTGGATGCACCTGGTTGATTTGGGAAAGGGAGCCTTGTAAGGCAGAGGGGTGGGGAGGCGGCCAGGCCAGGGACCCTCCTCACAGTACTACCTGTCCCCAGAGCTGAGATTGTATTTCTCTTTCCTTGTTCCTTTGGGATGTGCCAGAGAAGTCAACTTCTGCTTTCATTCTGTCCCCCTGGTTGGGAGGTGTTAGATTGAGAGCTGTCTTTGAGACGGCCCAGCATTCCTGTGTATGCTCCTGTGTATTCCTGTGTATTCCCTCACCGTAGTCAAGATGGTGCACCCACCTGCGTTTTCTCTAATCTGGATTTAGAAGCACTAAATGTGAAAGCTAAATTTATATCTATGTGGTACCTTTGGCTTTGCCTTTTATATTCTTTTTCTGGCCTATTAATTGTACTGGATATCATCCAGGCAGCACTGGAAGATTAAACAAACAGTCTGAACCTTAGCGTCAGAGGATATACGGAGATAAATTTTCGGTCCAGGATTTGGGTTATCTAGCTCTGTGCTCACAAGCTCCCACACATTTTGACAGGAACCATTAATATTTGCATACCTTTGAAAGAATTGTACCAAGCTGACTTTTGGGTGGCCTTGCTCAACTCAAGTTCATGGTAACCAACCTTTCTTTCTTTATAGCTCAGGGACATGGTGCCAAAGGAGACAATGTCTATGAATTTCACTTGGAGTTCTTAGACCTTGTGAAGCCAGAGGTATGTTCTCTCCTTTCTCACTTACCATTTCCATTTTAGGAAACAAATACTAGTAGTTAGTGAAATGAGGAGCTGAGGTCGTGGGGGAGAAGAATGAAAGCAAACGGGAATAATATGCTTTTTGATTTGCAGTGGTGCCCAGGTTTTCGCTGCAAGGTGCAGAGGAATGAGAATGTCAGAGAACCTGAGCTGAATCTAGGCTTTGCCTCTTAGCCTTGTGAACCTGAGTGAATCGCTTCGAGTTCCGTTTTTCTTCTGCATTAAATGAAGGATTGAAGTGATCCCTAGGGTCCCTTGCAGCTCTGTTCTCTGATCTTAGTGATGACAGAGGAGTGTGGCACCCGCTGAGAGCAGAGTTCCTAGGGTGCTTGAAGAGCACACCAGGGTTGCATTCATATGGTTTTGCTGCAGGGGCAGTGAGAAGTCTAGAAAGCAGACAGGGCTAAGGCAGCTGGCCTTTTGAAAGCGTGATGGAAATACAATTGAAGTTTCCCTTCTCTTAGAACCTGAGGAAAGAAGGCCACAGATGGTGCACCTCAGTTTCTTAGCTCCGGGGCCTTGAGTTTATTGACATCCCTGTGCAGGGCTCCTTGTTTTGAGAGCATTAACAGTCAGCACTGGAATAAGGGGGAGAGAACCTGTCACGAGGCTTGCCTGGGAGACAAAGGGAGGGGCCCTGGAGAGAGACAAAGAGCTGGAAGAAGACCAGAGAAAGACCCTGCTGTTTTTGCCAGTTCTTCTTGGGCCAGCCCTTGGTCTAGATACTATGTTTGCATCACACTTGGAGGGCCTGAGAAGGCAGGTAGTGAGCATGCTGTGCAGCTTCCCCGTGGAGCCCTGCATGGGACACTTTTAGGGAAAGCGGATGGGGAGGCCTTCTCACAGTCTGACTTTTTCTCCTAGCCGGTTTACAGACTGACCCAGAGGCAGGTGAACATTACTATACAGAAGAAGGTGAGTCACTGGTGGGAACGACTTACCAAGCAGGAGAAGCGCCCGCTGTTTTTGGCCCCTGACTTTGATCGCTGGCTGGATGAATCTGATGCAGAAATGGAGCTCAGAGCCAAGGTTAGTAAGGACCCTAGGATGTAGCCATGGAGAAAGAAATCTTGAGGACCCCAAGTTACTTGGGCCACTTGAGGTTCCTCTAACATTGGGAGAGAATAGGGACAAAGCTATAAATTCATTTAAAGACCTAACGTAATTTTAGAGAGCACTAATATGTGTTTTCTCAGTTGTGATTTGCCTGATTCTATTCTAATGATTAGACTTAAGGTGATGGGTTTTGGGTGAAGACCACAGAGGTGAAGTGCCATTCTTACCACATCCTGTCAATTTATATAACAGCACTATTGCTACTAAGCTTGGATTAGCTGGCTGTGGTAATGTCTGTTAAGCTTCTCTCCCCATCCCACACTCTTTTTCTTATTGTACTCTTGGACAGAAGTCACTCTGCATAGCTCACCCTGCCGGAGTAGGGAGTTAGGGTTCTGTCCGTCACTATGAAGTAGCTACCTAATTTATTTGGAATTTTCCTACACGGGAGATTTGTCTACTCCCATGTATTTGTCCACTTGTTTATAATTCAGAGTACAAAATAAATATTCATGATGTAAATAATCTTTCTTGGTCAAATTGTTCCAGCTTTGCCCATTGGGAGCCCTTCACTTGGCTCTTGGTCTTTTTGGGAAAAGCGCCATTATTGTAGGACTTTCTCTTTTCTTTTTGAAAGTTCTTCCTTTCTCGAGCTACTGGGCGTATCTCATGTGTCCCTTGCCCTGGCCCTAGGATAGCCATTTCTCCAAGGAGCTCTTTTTTTTTTTTTAATTGAAGAGTGTTATGTATACTTATAAGTATTTCTATATGTGCCCATCTATCTATATTAAGCTGAATATGAGTTCATACTTATGTTGGAGATGTAATCTTAGCTTCTGGAAACATACAAAAAAATCTAGACGTCTTAAAAAATAAAATAGCAGTCTGCTTCCTGCCTTCAACTTCTCTCTCGTTTCTGTAGCTGTGACAAATCTTGTGGATTTGCCAGCTCTAAGATCACAAGATTGCCTGCTTAGCAATTTGGAAGCCAGCTGAGTGGTTTTACCCTGTGAATTTGGGATGAGCATCCAGCAGGAAGAGTGAGGCTCTTTAGTACCATGATCTGGGATGTTTTCTCCAGTGGAGCGCTGGACACAGGTGGAGGAAATGGCTTCAAGGGAGTCAGATTACTGATCCAGCATATGGGCTTTTGCAGGCGTGAGGGTTCTAACTTGTGTTCTTGGAAAATTTATGTAAATTCTAGGAAGAAGAACGCCTGAATAAACTAAGACTAGAAAGCCAAGGCTCCCCTGAAAGTAAGTTGCCATTGCTGCTGAGGGATTACCAGGTATTTGATGGGGGTGGGATGTCGATGAATGTGTGGCAGGAGAGTGAATGATTTCACTAGTGAGCTAGGTGGGTGAGTTCACGAGAAGTTTTCTATGTCCATTCCTTAAGGTACACATAGCCATATCAAAAGCCATATCTCTTTAGTATTTCCTTTCTGTTTGGGACCTGGCATCATCTGGGTATACCCAGGTTGGGTGGCAGGTATCCAGAAGCACCTCAGTCTTGTGGTCTGGCCTCCTTCAGCCTGCACACCTGAGACCTGAAAGGCTGTGCAGTAGATAGGTGTGGTTGTCAGACTCAGAGATGGAGAGTATTCTGTAGAGTCCTGCTATTTATTACCCTTTTAAAAATCCAATTGTGTTTCTATCTGTTCAGCCACTTCTAAGCAAAAGCTCAGTAAGTGTTTTATCTTTTGGGTGGCCCTAGCAGATTAAATCCAGGCGCTGTCCATTCAGTTTCTGCTGTATGTAAAGTGTTGCAGCAGGCCTTGGTGCAGAGCCAGATGAGGCTGTTGTAGCGCCTTTTCTCAGAACTGCTTGCATGCCAGTGAGAAGATCACGCAGGTCTATGAAACACTAACTTTGAAAAGCAGAATGAAATAAGGGCTCTTCTTATGTCCTCAGTTGAGCTTTTTTTTTTCAAGTTCTGTTAGCACATATTTGGGATGCCATAAGTAAGAAAGGAGAATGATTTTTTCTTTTCTTTTTTTGAGCCAGGGTCTCTCTGTAGTTCAGGCTGGCCTTAAACTCACTATGTATGTAGCCCAGGTTGGGCTGGGATGCACAGCGATCCTCCCACCTCAGCCTCCCAAGTGCTGGGATTACAGGTGTGTGCCACCACGCCTGCCACAGGAAGGAGAAAGTTTTAGAGCAGTAGTTTCCAAACTATGCACTTTGGTACCCTGGAGCTTCCTAGAGGTGCTTTGGAGGGTAGGTCACACCGACGGGTCTGTTGCAATCAGAGCAGCTCTTTTTTTGTGCTGTGTGCATTCAGGCTCTAAGTAAGTCTGTTTTAAAAGAGTTTAAAAAAAATTTTTTTGGGGGTCAGGGATTTAGCTCAGTGGTTCCACAGCCTGCTTTGTAGGTTCAAGGACCCGAGTTCGATCCCTGGTACCAAAAAAAAAAATTTTTTTTCCATAGAGAAATATCCTTTTGAAAAGCAGAAGGGAGATGATTAGTAGAGACAAAGAATAACAACATAAAATGGCCACCTAAACTTTAGAAACATGTAAAAATTCTTATATATAGATTTTTAGGACATTAGAAATAGCTTTAGCTATTTTACTTAAATTCAGTTTCTTTTTTGTTTTGGTACTGGGGATTGAACTTGGGACCTTGTGCTTGCGAGGCAGGTGGCAGAACCACTGAGCTGAGCTAAATCCCCAGCCCTCTTAAAGTTTCTTGATGGAAGAAGTTCTTCATGGTGGGAACACGTATTTGTAACTTTGAAGAAGAAATTTTAGTTAAATGTTGCTGAAAGCCTCACATTTTTAGGACAAAGCTGTCTTTGCTTGAGTGTACTACACTAGGGTTTTAGCACTGGCCAAGTGTCCATGCAGAATGTCTGTGGCCAGAACAAATTTGTCACACCACAACCTGAACACCTGGGCTCTTCTGTCATGATCTGTCCTTTCCTTTATCCTCCTTTGGCTCAGCCAGAACTGTAAGCTCCTTACTCCTTCCTTAACTCTATAATTGGCTGACCTTTTGTGAGCCTTCCGCTGCAGACCAAATCTGCACCCTTAGTTTCCTGCCTAGTGCCTGGCGTTGCCCTCCTGTGGTTCTGTCTTCATCCTGCCTGCCTTCAAGGCCCACATCCAGTACCATCGTATCCACACAGACCTGCCTGCTGCCGACCTCCCCAGCCTATGTTTCTTCACCTTGAAAATTTCACATATTGCTCATCAGCTCCTATTGTGGTTTTTAGGGGGTGAGCTCTTGGAGGGTGGCATCATGTTTTAACTGTCTTTGTGTCCTCTTAGTGCCCCTCCCAGTACCTGACACATTGCAGGTGTCTTTAGTGGTCCAGTAATTGAATATACTCTACGACCAAATATCAAGGCTATTTTTATTCGCTTACAGTTTCTATCGCTTTGAGATAGTTTACCGTGAATCTTAAAAAAAATTACAGAACCTAAGTAACTGTAGAGTGGGAGCTGAGAACTTTATTGTAATGCCATTGAAGACACTCAGTCATTCTATTGCCAGTGATATTTTTTCTTGGCTTGTTGAGTCTGTATACTTATCCCTCAGGCTGTGGAAGGAAAGACTGCTGAAAACATACCACAGAAAACAGCATTCCTCATAGATTTCCCTCATGTTTCTTTTTTTTTTTTTCTTTCTTTCTTTCTTTTTTTTTTTTTGGTACCAGGGATCGAACTCAGGACCTTTCGCTTGCGAGGCAGGTGGCGGAACCATTGCGCTAAATCCCCGGCCCCAGCCCTCATGTTTCTTTATGGGAGTTGGGAGCCCAGGCTGGGAAGACCTGGATCAGATACCTGGGTGGGGTCTTAGGGGCACCAGGTAGGACAAGGGGCTGAAGTCATGCAGATCTGCCCCACGCACACCTCTCCTGTGTGACTGCTGGGTTGACAGCTTACTGCCTTGTTTGCTTTTCAGCACTTACAAGCTTGAAGAAAGGATACCTGTTCATGTACAATCTTGTGCAGTTCTTGGGATTCTCCTGGATCTTTGTTAACCTGACAGTGCGGTTCTTTATCTTGGGAAAAGGCAAGTACAGAACTTTGGGGCTAGTTTTCCCTTTCTACTCTCCCCAAATAGCACTCTCTGCCTTTGAAGACAATAGCACCCTCATTTGTGGAGCACATCCTGCCTTGCCAGGGTACTGTCATAGCTCTTACTTCCTGTGGCCTTCTGCAGCAGGCTGACTGGATACCAAGTGAGGAAATAGGCCTAGAGATTTCACTTCTGCAAGTATGTTCTAAGGAAAGAATCAGAGCTATAGGAAAACCTTTTTAAAAAACATACACATTGTGGTATTATTAATTTTTTTATAATTATAAAATAAGTGATAATTACAGAAAAATCAGAAAGACACCTTAAAAAAACCTTTTTCTAATTATAGAAATGACGTGCTTATTTAAGAAAGTGTGGCGATGGAGGTGTGGGGAGAAGTGAATAAGCCCTTGTTCCATTACTATTAATATTTCCATGTATTTCCTTCTAGTCTTTTTTCTCTTGCAGATAAGTAATTATAGTGTATATACCTTTCTTTCCCTCCCTCCCTCCCTTCCTTTTTTTGGTACTGGGGATCGAACTCATAACCTTTGCTTGTGAGGCAGGAGTGGTGCTACTGAGCTAAATCCTCAGCCCTAGTGTATATACAATTATGCATCTTATTTTAAAATGTACTATTATAAGCATTTATATCATTAATATTCTTTATTATTTTAGAAACTGGATATATATTCTTTAATTGAAGCAAAGATAAATTTCTCAATGTCACAGGCAGAGGAACAAGATCTTATTTTTATATACCGTGTGCCAAATCTTAGGTCATAGTTTCCATTTCAAAGTATGAGAGATCCTCATTTTTCTAAGATTATTGGTCCAGGAAACTGTCACTTAAAGTGAACTTCTTTAAAAAGGTTAACAACTTTTCCCTGTAAATGTGAACAAAAGATTTTCACTGGGATTTCGTCTTGAAAAGAGTCACATTTAAAATTATGAAAAGAAAATTTTTATCTTACAGCAAAGTGTAAGTTGTAACTTTTGCAGATTCCTTGAAGAAAAGAATTAGTCAAACAGCAGTATATACTTTTCTTTGTTTTACATTTGACTTTGCAGTGGGATTATAAATTGGATAATTTTTGCAAAAATATTAACAAGTTTCTTCATTTCTTCATTTGTTATTGAAACTTTTATTGTGAGGCTCCTACAATGTCATCTTGGTTGGTACCTGGTGTAACACTGCCAGAACCTTTCTCTAGTATCTTTCTGTGCAGTTAGAGAAGTTCCCTCTCACTAATGTAATTCACTCCAGGTGTATCCTAGTCCTTCTTCAAAGATTTGATATATCAGTAGGCAAGGATGTTGGGCCAAGACTTGGATGTGATAAATAGGCCTAATCTTAAGTGGGAACAGGTTTTGAGTGAAGGTTAATTTTATAAATTGTTGGTTCATTAGTTATAATTTTTCAGCTACAATTTTTGCCTTTTTGATGGAGCCTCTTTTTTTTGGTACCAGGGATTGAACTCAGGTCCTTGTGCTTGCGCAGCAGGCGGTGAAACCACTGAGCTAAATCCTCAGCCCTGTATTTTTCTTTTTAATGTATTTTTTTGTGTGTGGGTTTTTTTTTTTGTTGATGGAGCCTCTTAACACTAAGAATTTAGATTACAAATATGTGGATAATTATTTCCTTTTATTTGGGGCACTTTTGCCTTCTTTGAGGGCATTTTGAAATGCCCAGTTTGGGGATAAGTGTTGGTTGTCACAGTGACTTGGAGGCATTTTGTTCACTAGGCAGCGAGCCAGCAATCCTACACTTTCTGAGTTAATGTGTTAAGTTTCTGGTAACCAGTGGAGCTCACTCTTCATGTCCCCAAAAACCTGCTCCCCTCCAGCTCAGTTAGTCAGACATTTGAATAGCACTGGATATGTATTATCTTCTCTAGAGTTCCCTGGTAAAGTGATTCTGTTGCCATTTACCAGTTGATTCACCGTTACTGTGTGTTTGTGCTGCAGAGTCCTTCTATGACACGTTCCACAGCGTGGCTGACATGATGTATTTCTGCCAGATGCTGGCAGCTGTGGAGACCATCAATGCAGCGATTGGAGTCACCAGTTCACCACTGATACCTTCTCTCCTACAGGTATTGACTGGCTGAGCTCATGGGGGGGAATGAAAGAGTTCAGGATTTATCTAGTTGTTGTGTAAGAATTTGCTGGTCTGAGTTATAAAAATCCTTGTTTGCATAGGAATGGCACTGCTTTACTTGAACAGGAGGAAACACTTTAAACTTTAGGGATACTTTCCTAAGTAGACTATTTAGGTTTTTTTCATCATTTGTAACATCTTCATGAAATCACAAAATTATAAAATGAGCTTCAAATCTAGGCAGGTGCAGGAAAACCTTCCCTCAGTCTCTTTGGTTAGCAATGCCTTGTGTAGACAAAGGCAATCAAAAATGTAACCCAGGTGTGGTGGCACACATCTGTAATCCCATTACTTGGGAGGCTGAGGCTGGAGGATCGCCTCAAGTTCAAGGCCAGCCTGGGCTACATAGTGAAGCTCTGTCTCAAAAACCCCCCGCAAAAGAAAAAAAAATGTAGGAACTCATGTCCCTTTGGACTTTGTCTTGTGTATACAGGTGGCTCTTCTGACTGGAGAATGGGGACCCCCCCCCCTTCCCCCATGTTGTCTTGTTTCCTGTGTTGACTGCTATCCGGAATGGGGCACCAAAGTCTTTCCCCCTTTGCCCTGTGTCTTTGCTATGAGGTCACATACCATTAAGTACCATCTGCCGAGATGCAGGGGTGCACCATGTGATTGCTGGTTAGTCTCTCTTGAAACACTGTTTCATGGCTTTTTGCATTTCTGGCATACCAGCTGTTGCATTCTAATAGTATCAGTTGCAAGGTAGGGCAGCTTAAAACTTTATCATTGCCTTATTATTTCTAGATTTTCTGTCCTTGGAAAGTTGCTTAGTTAAAAAAAATAAAAATAAAAGGGGATTATAAGTGATCTGCTAATACGGAATAAAATACTTAACATATCAAGGATTATTACAAATAAGAGTTATTATTCATTTGTTTGTTTGTTTGTTTTGGTACCAAGGATTGAACTCGACCCTGCATTTGCAAGGCAGGTGGCGGCACCACTGAGCTAAATCCCTGGCCCCAAATAAGAATTAAAGTAAGACTTTTTGGGCAAAATGGAAGAGACAGGCTCATTACCTTCATGTCACAGGGATGGAGGTGTCCTGCAAGCAAAATACAATGGCTGAGAGCTGAAGTGGCCATAGGAGGTTGAGTGGGCCATTTAGCAAACATGGAGGGCTTGCTGTGTACACAGGGTAAGAGGTGGTCTCAGTCCTGGAGGGCTGGAGCTGCTGGAGTGCCATTTCCTGGTACGGAGGAGGAGTAAGTAGGAAATAGTATACAGAACAGGAGCCCAGGAAACTAGAGGGAACATTTTCTTTTTATTGCCCTTTGAGGAAAGACTGAAGTGAGGCCCAATATCTAGCCAAAGTGGTCTGATGAAAAAAATCTTCTATTATAAAGTAAACGTGCAGTAATAAGATTGTGTTTACTCGGCTTGCAAAAACAGGTTAGAGGATTCTTGTTTAGGAAATACATATGGCAGATTAGGTGGCCTGGTGAGCTCTAGTGCTGAAGATGCTAGATGCAGGAAAGAAGTATCTGCTGCACTGGTGAGCTAAGTGACTGCCAGAACCTCTGCAGAGAAGCTGAGCACTGAGATTTGCAAAACCAAGATTGAACTTAAACTTCACTTTGCTAGTATCACAAGGTATAGGAGATACAAAAACTTAAGATTCTTACTGTAATAGTGAATTTAATGAGAGCCTTCCCTAGTAAAGACTACAAAGAGCTCCATTAAAGGTGGGTTAGAAATCCCACTCCACCCTGTCCAGGAGCAGTCTGTAAGAACACAGTTGTCTCAGATGTTGGTCCTGCTGGAGGTGGGGGAAATACTCTTTTAAGAATTCCTAACTCCAATAAACTTGATGAATTAAAAAGAAATTCAGAACCATAAGTGAATCCTCCAAATGGATCTGTGATATAAATTCACAACTCCTTGGTGTTTAAAAAATTCTCTAGTTATAAATTTTATTTAAAGTGAACCTTGCCAGGCGTGGTGGCCTGTAATCCCAGGACTCAGGAGACTAAGACAGAAGCATTGCTGGCAGTTACATAGCAAGACCCTGTCTCCAAAATCAAAATAAAATAAAAGTGGTCATAAACTGTTACTGCCCTCAGACTCTGGAAGTGGTGAACACAAGTCTTTTCTGTAAGAAATACCTTTGCCCAAGTTTGAAAGATTTCCCAGATTTGTTTCCAAGGAAAATGAGAGGACTGCAGTCAAAGACTGTAAAGCCAAACACAACAAAACAACCAAAAAACAAGGCATTGTGAGCGCGAACCACCAGGCACAACCAGTAAAGAGGAGTGGAGTGATTGACATGGTATCAGTTACTGACATGCTTAGAAGGCTGTGCTCATTAATTTGGGATAGGCAGGCACAAATTTTCATTCTTTAAATTGTGTTTGAAGATACGCATGTGTTTAATGTGCTTTGTAGTTACACAAAAGTACCTATCTATCCAGAAAGACTGGTTTGGGTACTTAGATTAAAACTGGAGCAGAATTAAACTAGTTTAGCTTAGTCTTTTCCATTTAACTTGTATTTAGTGGGGTTGTATTTTAGATAACACATGTATATGGCATGTGTAGGTGTATATATATGTATATAGACAAATCACATATGTACAAGGAGTGATCAAAAGATACAGTGAATGTTTAAAAAATTTTAATACACTAAAAGACACATTGCCATTAATCTACCTCAAAATATTTCCCTTCACGTTGAACACTTATCTACTTGTTCTTGCCACTTTCTGAAGCAGTTCTGGAAGTCTTGTTTGTGTGAGTGTCTTTATGAGATGTGATCAAAAACACAGTGAACGCTGCTGCCAAATATCCAACAAAGGCAGGCTCGTAAAAACATGAGTGTGTCCTCATACACTGTTAACTGAATCTGGTACTGTGCAACTTCTGGCTCTTTCCCAAAATCAAAATGTCCATGAAAGGTAAACATTTTGAATTAATATAGAACATTAAGGCAGCCACAAAAGTACAACTAGACACGTACAAAAGAGGACTTCCAGAACGGCTTCAGAAAGTAGCAAGAATGATAGGATAAATGTGTGGGAAGCAAGGGGGTAGATTTTGAGGGGGATTAATTAATGGCAATGTGTCTTTTTTTTTTTTTTTTTTGGACCGGGGATTGAACTCAGGACTTTGCGCTTTTGAGGCAGGCACGGTGACACTGAGCTAAATCCCTGGCCCAATGGCAATGTGTCTTTTACGCTAATAACTTTCAAAATTTAAACACACATCCCAGTTATACTTTATACATATTTTAACTTTTTTCTCTTTTGGGTCTCTTTAATAGCTTCTTGGAAGAAATTTTATTCTGTTTATCATCTTCGGCACCATGGAAGAAATGCAAAACAAAGCTGTGGTTTTCTTTGTGTTTTATTCGTGGAGCTCAATTGAAATTTTCAGGTGGGTGGAAATGCTAGGGTATTTCAATGCTTCTACCTCTCAGGAGCAGCTCTCTTTTGAGGGAGTCGCTTTCTTGGCCAGAGTTTCATTTGATTTGGGACTAAGATTACATATATGGAGAATTCTGGCTCTACCAATGTGCTCTGCAAGTTTTTCTTATCTTTTTTTTTTTTGGTACTGGGGATCGAACTCAGGACTTTGCACTTGTGAGGGAGGTGGCGGAACCACTGAGCTAAATCCCTGGCCCTGCAAGTTTTTTTTAAAGCAGTGATTGGATCATGATAACAGCCTGTGCACTAGGGAGCAGAAGGAGTGAACCAGAGAAAGGAAAGGCCTGTTAGTTTCCTTTTAGGATCTTGCTTTTCTGTTGTAAAAGAGGCCTCGCAAGTGTGAGGTGGAAGGGGCAACCCAAGCTGGATGAGTGAGTAAGGATGGCCTTCTAGCAGGGGTGATAGATATGAATCTTTCACCACAAGATGACTGAGGTTTTGGGCTGGCCTCTTACCCAATTCTTCCATTCTCAGTTGCCATTGGAAGAAAGGCCATTTTAAGAAACTGATCAGTGGGCTGGGGATTTAGCTCAATGGTTTCGCCCCCTGCTGCACAAGGCTGCAAGGACCCGAGTTCGATCCCTGGTATCAAAAAAAAAACCCAAAAAAACAACTGATCAAGTGTAAGTAGTGCTGTCTGTATCAGATTACACATGTTCCTTGCTTCCCTCTTCATTCAAGTGGAGCAAGGATTTGCAGATGGGCTGCCCAGTTCTTGGTTTGTTTGCTGTTATTTTGACAGTTACTAATGAGAGGGATGATGTACTTTTTGGTACCGGGGATCGAACTCGGATCCTTGCGCTTGTGCAGCAGGCGGTGAAACCACTAAGCTAAATCTCCTGCCCAAAGTGGGTGAGGATGTACTTTTTTTTTTTTTTTTTTGCTAATGAGAGGGAGTAATCGTAGCAGCCTGAGTTGTACCTTAACCATGCTCTGTATCCCAGGGCACTGACTGTCCCTCCGTCCCTCATGCTTCATCCAAAACAAAGGTGAACAGACATGGGTCCTTAATGTGAACTTCGACTATTTGGAAAGAAATAGATTTATTATGATATAGTAGTCTGATTCTAGATTAGAGGCCTTTTGTGTATTTTAATTTGCATAACAGTTCATTTATCCAGAGACAAAGAGTCTGCCATCTTCACCCACTGGGAACATAGATCAGAGCTAGGAGTAAAGCTAGAAACGTCAGCATCCAGCACACATGCTGGACAGAGAGCTTCCTGTGAGACCTCGGCTTCGGGTCCTTGCCTGAGAGAGTCACCTGATGGGGCTGTGAGTAGACAGCCCAGGACTTTCCTGTTCTGAAGAAGCCATGTATTGTTGAGGATGGATTCCTCTGTGTCCCTGAATGATATTCTGGGCTGTATTCAGAACTCAGATGGCTCTTGACACTGCATCCTTGTCCCCAACAGGTACCCCTTCTACATGCTTTCCTGTATTGACATGGACTGGAAGGTACTCACGTGGCTGCGTTACACTGTGTGGATTCCCTTGTACCCCCTGGGATGCCTGGCAGAAGGTATTTTCAGGAACCCCAGGTCTCATAACCTAGGTCCAAGGGGTACCCAGTGCCTAAGTGGCCAGTCCCTTCCTGCCTCTGCTGGCCTCTTTCTGGTAGATGGGGGGTTGGGCTTTTCAGGGATTGCTTTCTTGTGGCCACCTTCCTTAGTTCCCAGCACCTATGGTATTCCAAGGAAGTGCAGCTCACTGTCACATTTGGAAGCGAGTAGTCATGTACTGCATGCTTCAGTTTATATATTTTTAATTTTCTAGAGTTCATTCTTATTAAATGACTTCATTTTTTTTTTTTGGTACCGGGGATCGAACTCGGGACCTTGCGGTTTCGAGGCAGGCGGTGGCACCACTGAGCTAAATCCCCGGCCCTAAATGACTTGTAGTGAATGAATTGGGAGGGATTTCCCGCCATTTTAGGGACTAAGAAACAGGAGCCTGGTGCCACTGGCCTCCATCTTCCTGTTGGAGGCTCCAAGGCCTCTTTGGAAAACTTGAGGGGAAAGAGGAGCAACAGGAGCTTCCTGCACAAAGGGAGGAGAGGTGTTTCCAGCACTCCTAGACCCAACTTAGGGGCACTGGGGCTGGATGGCCTGTCACTAGATGTGCTGCTTTCATTTGCTCCTAACAAGTTCTTGTCTCTGTTTTCAGCTGTGTCAGTGATCCAGTCCATTCCAGTGTTCAATGAAACCGGAAGATTCAGTTTTACATTGCCATATCCAATGAAAATCAAAGTTAGATTTTCCTTTTTTCTTCAGATTTATCTTATAATGTTATTTTTAGGTAAGTATTGGCTCTCTGATACAGTATTTTCCTTGTCACTTCTTAGAGGGCAGAGTTAAATGATTCAAAGTTTAGACTTCTCTTTTTAGCTGGGTGTGTGGTGCATGCCTGTAATCTCAGCACTTGGGAGGCTGAGGCGGGAGGATTGCTGTGAGTTCAGGCCAACCTGAGTTACATAGTGAGTTCAAGGCTGGCCTGCAGTAACATAGATGCTGTCTCAAACACCAAACCAGGCCTGGGGATTTTGCTCAGTGGCACCCTGCCTGCCTTGCAAGCACGAGGACCAAAAAAAAAAAAAAACCCAAACAAAAAACAAAAAGAATTCTCTTTTTTTTCTAAAAGAGTAGCATAGAAGCAGAGAAAATTTACTTTGCAAAAACAAACCCACTAGGAGAATATGCTATGGTATAGAAATACTTTTTCCTAAGAATCATGTGGGTTTTTTTCTTAATAAAAGCTGCAATTGTTATTTTATTCTCAATCCCCAAATTCTCTAGATGCTAGCAGTTCAGGAATAAAATCTTGGCAAGACTACATAAAAAAAGTCATGATTTTGGAACTCAGTCTTCTGAAGAATTGTTAATGAGTTAAAGCCCTTACCAGAACTATGTGGCACAATGCCTTACTGTAAACTATTTAAAATCCTACGGGTGTAATCCTACAACTACAATGGTCTTAAAAATAAAGAGTAATGATAGAGGTAAGGTGGTGAGGAAAAACACAATGTGTTAAGTCAAAGCATTTCTTGTACATAAGCTATAATCAGTAGGGAAAAAAAATGAAAATAAGAACAGACCAAAAGAGAACCTACTTATATATGTTTAATTTTTTTATGTATACACATCTATATATGTATATATATAGATACACACACACACACCCCTACCATATTATTTCTGGCTATCGCTGAAGGAAGTTGTGGGAAGTTGCATATCTTGCTGGATGAAGAAAAAAGTTGTATGCCATAACCCACTCTGTCCTGCTATCAGCATATAAACTACATCTGCTTTGAGAATCCCTTCACATTCGTTGGAATTTATCAACATTGGTCCCTTGCCCATATATGGAGATTTACTTGCCAAGGATGACTAAGGTCATTGTAACTACTATGGTTCAAATGGTAGGGCTGCGAATGTATTTCTTGTTGTCAATAAGGAATCATGTTCTTGAAGTGCTCTTGGTAATGGGAATATACCATTAAGACACCCCACCCCCACCCCTGGGGTGAAGGCTTAAACTCAGGGCCTTTGCACTAAGTTACATCTCCAACCCTTTTATTTTTTATTTATTTACTTTTGAGACAGGATCTTGCGAAGTTGCCCAGGCTGAGCTCAAACTTGCAGTCTTCCTGCCTCAGCCTACCATAAGATATTTCTTGCTGAAAACAGTGTTAGGAGCTCTTTTAAAATAGAGTAGGAGCCAGGCATGGTGGCACATGCCTATCCCAACTGAGTGGGAGGCTGAGACAGGACAATCACTTGAGTCCAAGAGTTTGAGGCTAGTCTGGGCAACATAGCAATACCTCATCTCATAATTTAAAAACTTAAAGGTAAATAAAATAGAGTAGAATGCTCATCTTTAACTAGTTTCAGTAGTGTATCCCTTATTCAGATGGTAGAGAGGTAGCAGGCTGTACAGCTGGCAGCAAGGAAGGAAGGAGCCAAGGGTTGTCATAAAGCCTTCCAGGTAACCGTAGGAAGTGCCCTGCTGGTCCTGTGCGACCTGCTTGCTTACTAGTTTACATTTATATAAAGTAAAAAGTCTTGCCTTAATTCATAAAAACTAAGAACTAAAGGGAAAAAGAAGTAAACCTAAATTGTTACAAATGTGAGAAATTGAAAAGCTGTAACTACAGGGATTCTAGATGTAAGACTCCCCAGTCATAATTTATGTGTCCTGCTTTGTTTGACAAAACACTCCAGGTGGCCCTAAGTAAGTTGAGCTGTGTGGGCCGCTAGCAGGAGAATCATGCAACAGCTGATGGTGTTAGTTAGGGCCCAGGGTACAGCAGGACCCCACAGCAACCAATGAAAACAGCGATGCCTCCCATGGTGTCTGCAGCTCAGGTCTGCAGCAGAAGCTCAGCCAACCTGTCAGCTGGGCCCAAGGATCTGTTACAAGCTCAGGTGTATGGCTGTCATCAGCTGCCGTGACCTGGCTTCCCTAGAGGAAGCATCAGAGCCACAGAGCCTCCTATAATCCAGTTTCAGAAGTGGTGTGCGGTCACACCAGCCACCCGGTACACTGGAGGGACTGCACAGGCATGACACTCCAGGAGGGTAGGAGTGTTGGGACTCTTAGAGGCCAGCTCCCCCAGATGGAGAGGAGCCTGAGAGGCTAGAAGGCCCGGTGCTCTCGGGCCTTTAGTATCGGGGAGAAGGGGCTGAACCTTTAGGAGCCCCACTGGGCATCAGCACATGGCAGAGGTACAGTTACTAACATACAATACAAGCCCCGGTCACTTGCAGAAGGTTTTTACTTCTTCTTTTCTTTTTTAGCAAAGGATATAACCTATTTCAGAAAGATTCTAACCCAAAATGTTAAAATGTTTTGGACCTTGAAGGGAGTAAGCTAAAAGAGCTTCTTGCCTGGTAACTAGGCTCTGGGCATGGGCATAATGAAAGTAGTGAAATGGGATAAGTATTGGAAGGACATTTAAAATATTTTACTAAAAAGTTAGAGGGATAGAAATATTTTGATATGCTCTAACGTTATCTTTTCTTTGTATTGTGCACCTTAACTTGGAAGATTTTGTATGTAGTTGTTGTAATGAATAAATAGTTGTTTTCTTACTTTTCAAAATGAATTAAGTCAGGGCCGGGGATTTAGCTCAGTGGTGCCACTGCCTGCCTGGCAAGCACAAGGTCCTGAGTTTGAGCCCCGCTACCGAAAAAAAAAAAAAAAAAGAATTAAGTTCTGGGCCAGGGATTAGCTCAGTAGCGCTGCGCCTGCCTCCAATCACAAGGTCCTGAGTTCAATCCTTGGTACCGGGGTGGGGGTGGGTGGGGAAGAAGTCCTAAATTTGCATTTACAACTTTGAAGCAGTATGCCAATCACTTGACATTTCTATGTACATCAGAGTACTTCTGTACATACATTCAGTCATACTTACAATAAGTTTGTAAATAAATGTTTCTAATACTACTGTAAAAATGAAGTTGAGGGGAGGCTGAGAACTTTCTCAGAATCTACTCAGTGGTCAAACAGGATTAAAATTTCTTTCTGGGGCCAGGGATTTAGCTCAGTGGTTTCACTGCCTGCTGTGCAAGCACAAGGACCCAAGTTTGATCCCCGGTACCAAAAAAAAAAAAATTCTTTCTGATCCTGAAATCCTGTGTTTTCTACTTCACTGAATTGGACTTCCTACAAAAGTGACTCATACCTTTTATCTCTTTATGATTTAGAAATGGGGTCTCACAGTCAGGTAGGTCTTGAACTCCTGAGCTTAAGTGATCCTCCTGCCTCAGCCTCTCAAGTAGCTGGGACTACCTGTGCGCCTGGCTTATGCCATGCCTATTAGACTGTTCTCTAATGTGTTCTTGAGGGAGCCCTGAGTTAAAAATTACGTTATTTTGGGCCTGGGATTTAGCTCAGTGGTTTCGCCACCTGCTGTGCAAGCGCAAGGACCCGAGTTCGATCCCTGGTACCAAAAAAAAAAAAAAATTAGGTTATTTTTGCACTTCAGACTTGTGCATTTCATTGTATGCACGAGGGGAGGAAAGACCAACAGTACTGCACTGCACTTGAGAAGTCTGTCGGGGTGAAGCGGTGTCTGCACTTAACTTTGAAATGCCTCAGAAATGAGATGGACAGTTAGACGAATAGGCAGTAGGAATGTGATGAAGGAAATAAGCACAAAGTTAAGTGTAATGCAGATGTTTGTTCATCAAAGATTTTGTTTGAAATTTTCATAATTAAATTTGGGACAAAATGAAGTTATAACCCCGAGGGGAGGAACTGGCTTGTCTCTGGTATGCATTGCTGATTTGTTCTAAGTTGTACTTCCCGAGCAGCCACAATAAACAGTGCTGTGGGATATGAAAACACAGCTTGAGTTATCTGCCTTCTGCCCCCAAGGGCTTCTGGTTACAACAGACAAAGACTGTCATTTCTAATCAACCTTGTTTTTTCTTTTTCAGGGTTATATATAAATTTTCGTCACCTTTATAAACAACGCAGGCGGCGCTATGGACAAAAAAAGAAAAAGGTCCACTAATCAGAGAGATTTAGAAGGCTTCTTGCCAGTTTGAGCCTAATCTATGATTCTTACTGTTTTACCTTCTTGTACTGATGTAAAAGTTTTTTTAAAGTTAATTGAATTCTCAGTGAGGCTATCTCCCTTTCTGCGGTAACATTCCTGAATTTACTGTATTATCTTAGTGTAGTACTTGCATGACATGGATTCCTGCTATCCGCCAACAGGTTCATTCTTGTGTATGCAGATAATGACAGCAAAAGGCTCAGCCCCACCCTACTCTGTGTCCCGTCTGCTCTTTACATGCTGGAGATACTGTCCCAGTGCTCTGTCCCTACAGGTACTGACCACTATTACAGCTGGGATTTGTTCTTTCTCCCCATTAGTAGGAAAAAAAGCAAGACTATTTTGTGCTATAGAATGTTAGTACTTAAAGCGACTCAGGCAGGACCTAATATTCTGTACCCACAGGGTGATTTGTGTAGTAGGGTGGCACTGACTTTGAAATCAAATGTGCTTGGTCACCAACAAGTCTCTGAGTCACAGTGGGGCTGGACAGCAGTTTGGCACCCAGCCTAACAGACCACAGTGCTTATTACTAGTGCTTACCAGTGTGGGCATTGAAGAGGCAAAGGCGACTTGAGAGAAACCAAGCAGAACCTTGGAACACCATGGTCACTTCATTCCTAGGTAAATCAGGACTGTTCAACTCTAAAGAAAGAGGAGACTGTGTTTAGAAAACAGATTATTAGTTCGAAATTCAGGTGGCTACAGGGGTCAGAAAAGAATGCAAACATGTTGGTCAAACTGGCACTGATACAGCTGCTCAAAATGTAGCCTTGGAACACTGCAAAGTCAGTTCAGAGGCCAGACTGGAGTAGGCCCTGCCTGCCTACAGAACTGTCTAATCTGGGCACAGACTGAAAGTCAGCCTTCGTTTCCTTGTCCTGGGTGAGTCCATTTCTTGCATACTTCTCTGAGTGGGGAGGCTGTACATTTTTAACCTCAAAAACACGTTTTTTCTGCTGTTGTTGGATTGGTTTTTTTTTAACTGTCTGCAGTAGGACACTGAAAACAGAGCAGGAACTTTGGCTGGGGAATGACCTGTTGGTCCTTTAACAAGGAGTCCTGGCAGGAAACCCAAACCAGGGGAACTGAAGAAAGTCTAGCCATTATGGTTGCCCATTGTAAAAACACATCGGTTTCCTCCAGTACATTCCACATAAACCAGGTAAAATAAGTGCTAGAAGTGACACTTGGGTTAAAAGAATTTAAGGCACAGTTGCGCTTTGTGTTCTGCCATCCCGTGTCCCTAGGAGAAAGGAGTCTTGGTCAGCTTTGATCTAAAGCATCCAATTAGCAGAAGGTGACTGATGTTTTAAAAACTCATTGCACTGAAGGGCATCTTGCATGTCTGTAACTTCTGTCAACACCTGTGTGTACTGACTTCTGATCTCCTCTCACCTGACTCTGTAACCAGGCTGATCAGCTTTGTAGTAGATGATGCTACATCCTTCTGGCAAAGCCCTGTATTCCTAGTGATTGTTAGGAACCCCTTTATCGCTGTCTGAGGAAGACTGTGTGTTTATATTAAAACATTTGCAATCAAAATCCTAGTAACTCGTTCTTTAATGTTATTTAATAGTTTTCAAGCTTGTTTAGGCAAAATATCTAGTAGTTCAGCAGAGTAAACCAAAAACTTCTGGTTGAAGCCTGAGGGAGTTCTGAATGAAGGTGTAGTCTGGCTAGAAAAGCATTGTTGACTTAAATAAAACCTGCAGAAGTTGCACACCTTGCACAAGGTCTTGAAGCTAGCAGATGACTCAGAAGCTGGCTGACTCCAAGTAGCACTCTGCCTGGACCTGCTGGCCAGAAGCTGGCACAGCCAGCAGAGTCTAATCAGAATTGGACAAAGAAGTCAGTATGGACTCTCAACTTCTGGATTTATGAACCTGCGCTACTATATTCAGGTGACAGGTCAGACCAAGGGACAAAGGACCATTAGTTTCTCAGTGGAAGTGTCATAGAAAATCAACTATTTTATTTTCATTAAAAAAACAGGAATCATTTTACATGTATGTGGTTGCTGTTTAAAAGTTTGTATCTCAAGATACACCAAAAGCACCCAAAGATTACTATCATATTTTACCAAGTTCTAAGCAAAATTCTGGAACTCAGTGATACTCCTCGGTTTGTCCTTAGCAAGTCCCAAGCAGCCTGGGCTACACCTGCAAAGCAGCTTGAAAATGTCCTTACTACTGAGATACAACTTGGACAAGGGATACTCTCAGGAATCAGGAGCCTGTGCCCATTTCCTGAGGAAGAGGAAGGTGGGAGCTCTGCTCCGCCACTGAAGATTCCTGAGATGCGTCCCTCATGGGAGCAACAGCTTAGAGACACCAAGACACCAAGCTGGGGTTCAAACCAACCAGCCAGCCCCCTTTGTTCCCCCTGCAACCCCTCCCTGGAGCAGCCATTCCAGCCAGCAAGTGGTGCTTCTGAGGCAACCTTGGGAAGGTCCCTGGGTGGTTGTGTCAGAGGTGAATATACTAGAAGTCCTTTTCAGTTGAAATTAAAAAACAACTCCCTAAGTCAGTTCACATTCTCTCCGTGCTGCTCCCAGAGAAGTCCGTGTGCAAAGGGGTGATGTTATGGTCATATGCAGCGTACTCGGAGGTGCTGGTGCTGGCCAGCTTGAGTTGCTGGGCGGCATGGGTCAGCTGGAAGGCAGCATCAGGGTGCGCCGTGTCGGGCAGCAGCGTGCACTCCCGCTCCAGCATGTCAGCCACGCCCTTCAGCAGGTCCAGGAAGCCAAAGGCCAGTGCGGCCTTTCGTAGACGGTTCAGCTCCTGAAATAAAGTGAAGACCAGTGCTCCTGAAATGTACCCTCTTCCTTGAGCACTTCCTCAGTGTGCAGCTGATGGTCCATTCTCTTTGACCCTCAACTTTCAGGGAGCATTTTTACATGAGAACCCATTCTTACGCAGAGAAGCCAGTACTGAGAGTGTGAGGACATAACTGACATGTGCTTCCTCTACAGGTGGCCAGCAGCTAGGTGAGGAAGACAGTGCACCATGTCCACCCAGCAGTGAGCAAGTATACTGGCATTGTGGTGAGCACTGCACACATCTGGTACTCACACCTGACAAGAGGATGACTTCCCTGTGTTGTTCCGGGTTGGAAAAGGCTTCCTCCAAATCTCAGAGGCCTCTTAACCTTTGGTGCCTCTGCAGTGTGGGCTTACAGTGAATGGCAATGAACATGTTTAGAGAATCCAGGCAGGAAGGACTGCCACACAAGAAGGGGTGGGCAGTGGATGGAAGTACAGAAATATGAAGTGCCCCGCCAGGCACCTGGTGTGATCTGGGCAAGCTGCAGAGCCACTTGGTCTCAGAGGCCTTGTTACAAAGTGAGGACGCTGCCTTTCCTGTCTCCTGCAGGAGCCAAAGCATTGAGTTTTTAGAGACCCTACCTAGCTCTCATGTAGGGTTATATAAAGCCAGTGAGGAGAAACAGGCCCTCAGGTCACCTCTGTATCATCTAGTAAAGCTGGAAAGTTGAAGGCCACACACAGCACAGATGTGCCAGCTCGAACAGACAACTGTGAGCAGCACCTACACAGAGACGGCTGCAGCTGAGGCCTGGCTGAGTTACAGCTTCAGGTGGGAAGGGGCCTAGCCAGCTAAGCAGGTCTTTTGAACTTTGATTAAAACTGCAAATTTTTCTTGATTTCACTAGCCTGCTACATACTTAGGTTTGAGGACAACAGTGAATCAAGGTAATGAGGTAACGCGAAGACAAAGGAGCAGTGTGTGTTCTCCAGAAGAGATGCCAGCCCCAGGCCCGCTGTGTGTGCTGTATTTTGAGATTAGCAAACCAGGACGCACGTCACACTGTGCTCAATCTAACTCCAGCCAAACATAGGAAGGACAGGGAGAGAAAAGGAATGAGCCTAAATGTTCCCCACCTCAGTCCTCAGGACTGCAATCTCTGCCAGTGGCTCTAGATCAACCAGTCACCACCATAGAGGGCCACCCACTTCACAAGTCAAATACGTGATTTTAAAAGTTGTCCCTCAAGGTGCTTCTCTGGCACAGTAAGATTTTCTGGGTGATTCAGCACCATGGGAGGTCACATACTAGTTGCACGGACCGCACAGGACACCCATGGCAGGAGGGACTCAGAGTGGTGTGTCTACAGGGAGACACCCTCCTACTGTGCAGAATCGGGCCTTTGCATCGCTGCCTGCTCTTGGACTGTAAGGCAGGCTTGGACCTATCACACTGACTTTCCTGATGAGAAACCTGAGGCAGCAGCGGCACAACACTAATCCTTGCCATTTTTGGCTCCTGGCCTGTGCTCACTACTATGTGCACATCCCACGGCCCACCCTCTCCACTGTAATTCTGACAGGCTCACCTTATAGAATGTCTGCGTTTTTTCAGGTAGTTTCCTTGCATTTCTCAAAATCTTCTGTACATCTGTCTATTGAGAGTGAAAAAATGAAAGAATATGACATTAGAATTCTGTGGTAAAAAGCAGGAAAGAACACAAATGGATAGCTCTGAATGTTTAAAGAAATGAAAAAGGAAAATGGGGCTACAGCTCTGGTAGGTGAACCCGTGAAGGCCCTTTCTGAGTTACATCAGTATTCTGCTCAACACTGACAAAGCACGTCCCAGTCAGGCATGGTGGCGCATCCATGTAATCCCAGCTACTCTGGAGGCTGAGGCAGAAGGATTACAAATTCAAGCCCAGCCTGCGTGATTAAGAGCTTGTTTCAAATTGTAAAAGGGTTAGGAGTATATATAGCTCAGTGCTAAGTGCCCTTGGGTTCAATCCCAGGTACTCAAACACACACATTTCCCTCCTTCAAAAGGCTGGATGATAATAAATCAGTCTCACAAAAATATACCCAGGAAATCCATAAATCTACAGCTAGTTCTTTTTTGTAAGGCTGCCAAAATCATTCTATGAGGAAAGAATAGTCTTTTCAACACCTGGGCCAAGTGGATAGCCACATGCAAAAGAAGTTGAACCTTTACCTCACACAGTATAAAAAATGAACTCAGAATGGATCAGACATCTAAATATAAAGTCTAATGCTATAAAACTTCTACAAGGAGTGTTCACTTTAGCAGCACATACACTAAAACTTCTACAAGGAAATGTAGGAGTAAATTCATCACCTTGGATTTGGCTATGATCTCTTGGTTAAGATACAAAAAAAGCAAAAGCAACAAAAGCAAAAAATAGAAACATTTTCCTGACTAAAAACTAAAAATTTTTATTTTTTTTTTTGAGACAGGGTCTTGCTGTGTAATTCAGACTGGCCTTGAAATTTTGGACTACATACTGAGACCCTGCCTCAAAAAACCCTAAAAACCTGTACATCAAAGAACACTACCAAGAGTGTAAGAAGAGGACTGGGGTGTAGCTCGGTAGTAGAGCACTTGCCTTGCAGACATGAGGCCCTGGGTTCAATTGCTAAAGAAAGGAGAAAAAAGTGTGAAAAGAAAGCCCACAGAATGGGAGAAAATATTTACAAATCACATCTCTAAGGGTGTGCTATCCTGAGTACATAAAGATCTTAACAAAAAGACAACCCAGTGGAAAAAGTGGACACAGGATTCAAGACATCTCTAAAGATAGACAAATAGCCAGTAAGTACATGGAAAGATGCACCCTCCCCATCAAAACTAGGGCCTTCTGTGTGCTAGACAAGCACTGTACCACTGAGCTACATTCTAGTCCAAAGATGTACCACATTACTAGGCATTAGGGAAGGGAAATCAAAACTACAAAGATATAACACTTCACATCCACTACTTTAAAAAAAAAAAAAGGAATACTGATTGGAGTGGAGAAACTGGAACACTTAACAACATGGCTAGTGGGAATATAAAATGGTGTAGCCACTGTAAAAAAGAAGGTTGGCAGTTCCTAAAGTTAATTACTGCCAGGTATGGTGGTATACATCTCTAATCCTAGAGATGTGGGAGGCTCAGGCAGGAGAATGGCTGTGAGTTTGAGGCCAGCCTGAATTTCATAGCAAGACCCTGTCTCAAAAAACAAAAACAAAAAATGCTATGATTCAGCAACCCCAATTCTTTTTTTTTTTTTTTTTTTTTTAGAGATCAAACTCGGGTCCTTGGGCTTTCAAGGCAGGCAGTGGAACCACTGAGCTAAATCCCTGGCCCAACTCCAATTCTTAACCAAGTATTGAGAACAGGTGTTCAAACAAAAAATTTGTATGAATGTTCATAACAATATCATTCATAATAGGCAAAAGGTGGAAACAACCCTAATGTCCATTACCTGAGGGAACGGATAAAAAAATGTGGGATATTTATACACCAGAATATCATCACTCCACCATGAAAAGGAACTAAATACTGACATGTGTACAACATGAATGATATTCACAGTGAAAGATGCCAAATACAAAAGGCCACAAAGTGCATTATTCTATTTCTCTGAAATATCTGGAATAGGCAAATCCATAGAGACAAAAGGCAGATTAGTGGTTGCCAGGGCCTGGGAGAGGGAAAGCACATGGAGGGACGTGCTTAAAAGCAGGGACAGGGTTTCCTTTTGGAGTGGTTAGGATG